TTGAATTGTTTTTGCTTACCAACTTTAGAATTCCTTGCCGATATGATTTTGCTCACCAAAAAGCCTTGCCGAGCTGATTTTACTTGCCAATTTTAAAATTCTTGGCTGAGTATATTTTGCTCGCCAAGAAGTCTTATCGAGCTGACTTTGCTTGCCAACTTTGAAATTCCTTATCAAGCTGATTTTGCTCGCCAACTTTACAATTCCTTGTTGAGAAAATTTTGCTCACCAAGAAGTTTCGCTGATCTGATTTTACTCACCAAGAAGTAAGTTGTCGAGCTGACTTTGCTCGCCAATGTTGAAATTCCTTGCCGAGCTGATTATGCTCGCCAAAAAGTAAGTTACCGAGCTAATTTTGCTTCGCAACCTTAGAATTCCTTACCGAGCAGACTTTGCTCGCCAAAAAGTAAATATCGAGCTGATTTTGTTTTCCAACTTTAGAATGTCTTCCCAAACTGATTTCGCTCACCAAGAAGCAAGTTGTCGAGCTGATTTTGCTCGCCAACTTTAGAATTCCTTGTCGAGCTGATTTTGCTTGTCAAGAAGCAAGTTGTCAAGCTGATTTTGCTCGCCAACTTTAGAATTCCTTATCGAGCTGATTTTGCTCGCCAAATAGTAAGTTGCCGAACTGATTTTGCTCGTTGAGAAGTAAATTGCCGAGCTAAGCTGATTTTGCTTGCCAAGAAGTTGCACTGATTTTTCTCGCCAAGGAAGTTATCGAGCTGATTTTGCTCGCCGAGAAGTAAATCACCTAACTAAGCTGATTTTGCTTGCCAAGAAGTTGTGCTAATTTTGGTCGCCAAAGAAGTTGCTGAGCGACTTTGCTTGCCAAGAAATTGTTAAGCCGATTTTGCTCGCCAGCTTTCGGCGGAAAACTGATGATTTGTTCAGTCAAAGATAATTCTAACCGAGTAATGGACACGGTCCAAGGGCAATCTATTTAGCTTGGATCACTACTTTGCCTTTGTAAGTTTAAGGCAGGATTATAGAGTTGATCTCAATAACTTGATATTTGTCTATACTGCGAGGTCAATATCATGCATCGCTTTTTTGGTTGACACTTGCATGTCTTTTACAAGGTCGACATTCGAGCTTCGTTTGCTCAGTAGACATCCAAGCACCATTTGCCCAGTCCAACTTGTAAAAACTCCATTTGCAAGGCCCATTTGCATGGTCCGTTTACAAGGTTACCAGAGTTAAGCCTAGCAAGGTCCGTTTACAAGGTTGCAAGAGTCAAGCCTAGCAAAGTCCGTTTGTAAGGTCCATATGCAAGGTCGCCAGAGTTAAGCCTAGTAAAGGCGAGCCCATGACATCAAGCATCAAGCCAGAGTGGTTCATGACCAAGTAATAACTCATGACTGAGATTGCGATGAAGTAAATCAAATCAATGCCAACCAAGTTGAGAGATTGCTAATTGCACCAATTGAGCTAAAGAGTAAAAGAGTTGGAATAAGTTTTGTTTGCACAATTCTACCAACTAATCACTAAGATCAAGATACGTAGTCAACCATTTTATTCTTGGCCAAGAATAATTTATCCTCCAAGTCATGGGCCCAAACAAATACTTCAAATATTCCCTCAGAGAATTGAAGCCTAACATCCAGCTCGACCGAGCTAAGGATTAACGACGATAGTCAAATGGAGCTCATGGTAGACATGCAATGGTTTATGGGTTAGGCCGAGGTGGTGTGAACATCACCGAGTTAGTGCTCGGCCCATTCTCACGACTAGCCGAACAAAACGAATAAAAAATGACTCACGACGTCAAAGATTAAACCAGGGACTGACCGGACATGGTGCTGAAGAGATGAAACCAAGTAACAACCTTGAGCAACAAAAACTCTTGGTTCTTTCGACCGAGCTTGTGTACGTTAATGAACCAATTTGTAAACTAATCAAGACGGTATTGACCGAGCTAGTGAATCGGTGAATATGGGCAACTCATAAAATGAACTCCTACATCGTCGAACGTGAGTTGGGTCAAGTAAGAGATAATACATCAATCAAGTCGAGAATTTGGACGCACAAAGTACCCAACCAAGCCAAGAAGAACGCAAATCACACTCATGGGCGAAACAATCAACCAAGCTCAACCATGGGATAACTGAACCAGATTCGAGCTCAGCTTCGCAAGAACTTGGCCCAAGAAGTTCGACTAATCAGTTAGGGTGAGGTACTTCAGACCTCGCCCGAGCCACCAAGGGCATCAATCTTACTTCGGCCCAATAAAGCCTTCTGAGATGGCCAAACAATGAGGATTGTAGATCCATGAACACTCTTAGGCTGGGCAGAAGACCAAACCGAAGCACCACCAAGCTACTCAGCCAAACCAACAACCAAACCTAACTGAAGCACACCAAATTGAGCAACAACGTCAATTCGATGAACTAAGCAGAAAGGCAAAGAATCGCAGCCGAACTAAGCCCGCGCCTCAGAGATGAGCCGGGCTAAGCTAGAACGAGGATGTTTCTCTTAATCAGGCCATGAATTTAGCTCAGCACGATAAGGTAATCCGGATCATGCTAAAACAGACGTAATTGAGGGGCAATTGAGAGGAAAATTTGTGTCAAACAAATGGATCGACCTAAATTCCATGTGGACCTTTTACCATGCCACCGAGTTAACATGAAATGGGCTTCAGGCCAAACTGAACGAGCTTGGACTAGGGGCCGAGATAAGTCCACACATCGGACATAGACCGGGTAAAGGAACTCGACTGAGCTATGTATGCGCAGTGAAAAGTGACTGGACTAAGATGATGAGGGTGACTCTTGACCGAGCTAGAATCTTAGTCAAGGAAAAAGGCCGTGCAGAGTTTGTCCGAGCAATGAGTAAACAACGCTTAACTGAATTGAACACAACAGATTGTGCTAGTAGAATTCTTAGCTTGGACATGAAGCAGCCTGGGGCTTAACCGGTTAAAATTAGCTCGGTTGAACGTAGCTCAGCCATATACTATGTGGCCCAATTGGAGTGTGATGAGGAAAACCCGCTAATAGTTCATGTCAATACCATTTGGCTGTTTTGTTGATACTGTTTGGCAATATTGACGCACACACGTGTAAGGCGAAGAGAGGATAGTACATCCCCACATCTAAGAAAGGATGAACAAGGTAGTGCGTGCACAAATTATATAAGCCGTGCGGCACCTCTGTGCAAAAGGTCTGCAATTTTCTCTTTACTAAAATCTATCATTGCTTAGTCTTTCTTCTCTTTTTAAGGGTGCTAACTTGACCATCGAAGGGATTTTCTGGCAACACACTCACTAGGTAGCTCACCGTCGTTGTGCTTGCCGGCTGAATGACATCGTTCGGAGCGACACAAAGCTTGGACAGAAGGAGTACGGAAGGCTACGAATATTTCCTTCCTGTACAATTTCTATTGTTCTTAAACTACGAAATCAATAGTTCCTATTTATAGTTGAGCTCCAGAGACTTAACTTGCAATTATAGAGAGTTGAGGACCTTATATATAAATACATGAAGTACCTAAATTCTAGTACAATTTTGGCTGAAGATGTAATACACACGGCATTTACAGTAGGTGCATGTCCTAACCATTTTTCTATCCCTCCCATGTGTGAAACAATCTCTATTGTAGGTTGGCTAGTTAGTGTAAATTACTATGTCACCTAAACAATATAACCCCTCATTTGTTGACAAAACAATTGTTGGAAATATTTTTTCGATAATAATTAATTTAACAGAATAATAAAACAGAAAATAATTAAATACAGAACTAGAGTTAACTTACATCTTTCTGTAGAATCAAACTTAGAACAAATTTGTGATTGAGGCCAGTGTTTGGACACTGTGTCTTTAAGACAAAAATTCGTCCTCTCCTAGGTGCTTGAGAATAACGGACGTCTTGCCTCCAGGATTCAACAATCACCCCAAACAGATGCAGCACCGCGTACAGTTTGTACAGCAAACCAAGCTGTGTTATCAATGTTTCAGTATATAGACACAAAATGCAAGATGAAGACTGTATGAAGCAGCGATTGGAGAAGACTGAAAAGGAAACGGAAAAACTATCTTTTGTTTTGGAATGGGGGTTTGATATATATAGGCAGAGAAGTGCCTTTTCTGGAACAGAAGACCGTTGTGAAGAACAGTCACCAGATCGGAGACGCGACTAGTCGGAGAATGAGAAGAGTTGCAACCGAAAAAATTTAAATTTCAGATTTTGAATTTTCCCGCAGAAAATTATTCAAAATAATTTTGGAGCAAAAAACAAGGACGGGTTTGACCCATACCCACACCCGCGCCCGCCCCGGCCGGACGGCGGCGGCGCCGTACGTGTGTGGTGATGGTTTTGGGTTTATCCATAACTCCTCCTCCTACAAAACTTGGGTACCCCTTGGGGCCCAACCCAAGGTCTCCAACTTAGAGCTTATATACTCATAGAAACTCTTCCATGTTTCCTATGTGGGACAAGGTTTTAGATACCAACTCATGGGAACCACGCCAAACATTTTTATGTTCATAAGGCTCACTTTGGTATCAATTTCTCATTCACTCGAAAATGATTTTGACCACCCAAGTATCTATTCTTGTTCACCACATGGCAAGGAACATGTTGCCACTCGGACCCACCAAAACCGAGGTGTGGGTCCTACATTAATGATAGCTCAAAACTACCAAAAATTAATGGCGATAAATCATTTTTCTCTAACAACAATACCTACCTTACTCTCCAAACTGCATATGGGATAACTACCTTATATGCTCCTTTGCTCAAGTTATCAACGAGCCTTAGAGTGAAAAATAATAATACTAATAATTAAGCTCAAAATATTTAAAATTTAATTATTGTTCCATTGAGAATTCTCAGCGAAACAAAATACTTGAATAACATTGACACAAGAATTTTATTATTAGTAATGAGATTCTCATTTCTTTCAATATTCCTGTCATTCAAGCATAGCCTAAAATAAAATTTATTGATGATTGGTACAAGCCACAAGGAAAGACCTAACAAAGTGTTGCAAATTTCTACAGGAACTCAAGCTGGATGAGCTTTTGACTCACCAAATTTCACTTGATGAAATAAACAAAGCATTTCACCTAATGAAGCAGCCAGACTGTGTAAAGGTTCTCATCAAGTTTTGAGCTCTCTCCCATAAATGTTACACCGTATGTGTATTAATAAGAATATGTTTATTAGGTTTTCTTTTCTTACTTTCTTTCTTTTATTTTTTTCGTTTTGTGTATCGTATTAATAATCAGACTATAACAAGCATGTTTGGGTCGGGTTTTTATTTATTTTTTTATTATTGTTCTTTTTTGTATCATAGAGAAAACATTTCTAGAATGATATATATTATATAATACGGCCTCGTTTGGGAACATACTATTTTAGTAATTTTTTAGCTTTTTGGCTAAAATATAAGTTAAAAAAACTATATGTTTAGGGTGATTTTTTGGCTTTTTACGAAAAGATGTACAAAAAATAGAGAGAAAAGAGAATCTTTGATTTTTTGGTATAGATTATAAGCTTTTTGACTTTTTTAGTAGCTTTTTGCTAAAATGTTAACTTGAAATGAGTCCTTAAATAAATAAAAAAAACACTCATTAAAGAACTCATTAAAGTGAAGGTCCACATTATTGCTTTTTTTTATATATATATATTTATATTTTTTTAAGTGAAGGTCTACATTAAGACACAAGATTCTATATTAAATTCTTTTATGAATTTTATATTTGTTTATCATTATTTTTTTTGAAATTATGAAAATAATAATGGGTGCTTATTTGGGGAAGCATTTTTGTGCTTGTATTTGTATTGTAAGAACTAGAAAGTAAAATTGTCCATTTTATTTGTCTAATTGGATAATTGAGATCCGTGCGTAGCTTGAATAAAAAACTAGATGGCTGAGATCCGTGTGTAGGGGTGTAATTTTGGCCCGTGGCCTGCAGGCTGCCCGAAGCCCACCGGCGGCCTGAGGTGGGCCCGGCCCGTTTAGGCCCAAGCCCAGACCAAGGCCTTGGGCCAGGGCCTGGACCATCGTTTTGAAGCCAAGCCAAGCTCGGCCGTTGGGTCTGCTCAAGGCTCGCCCAAAAACGCAACCCGAGGCCTGGCTCGCCCATCCCACCCGATGCCCAGTATTATTTTTAATGAAAAATAATAAAATTTTGGTGAAAAAAAAAAAAATTTTGTTTAGGCCCGCCTAAGCCGCCCAAAGCTCGAGTCCAAGCCCAAGCCCAGAGGCCTGGCCCATTGGCCCGCTCAAAGCCCGAATACCCCTGGACATGGACTTGGGCCTAGTTTTCTAGCCCGTGAATCGGGCGGCCCGGACCGATTTTTTGGCAGGAGTCCGCATGGCCCGACATGGGCCGGGCCTAGCCCGAGCCCGACATGGGCCAAGTCGGGCCAAAATTACATCCTTATCCGTGTTTAGCTTGAATAAAAGTACAACATACTTTTTCATCATCTTGGTTATTTATACTAAAATTAATACATACCATATGTCGTCAATAATAATAATAATAAATTTTAATGATCAGGTGTTCTGGTCAGTTTATGCGCATCTTGATTAATTTCGAAACCCATGCAAAACAGAGTCCGCTAGCGTGGCCCTAAGGGGTTGATAACACCTAATGAGAGTTAAATCTAAGATCTGGAGAAAGCACACCCTTAAACCTCAAACTACACCCACTAGGCCAACTCCTTAAGGTTGCCAACAATAATAATAATAAGGGAATGACTTGTTTCCAGTTGAAATTTCAACTGAATCAGACAATTGAGATCCCGTAAGAATCATTGAACGAAAGATTCTGACCAATAAAAGTGATTAAACGGAAGATTCTTACCGGTAAGTGTTTTTAAAAAAATTCAATTAGGCCATATTTTCATAGACACTTATTGATAAGAAACTTCAGTTTAATGACTCTTACCGATAAATTTTTTTAACTATTTAGATCAGTTAAAAATTTAACTGAAACAAGTCAAATCTTAATAATAATATGTGGATGCCGTGGTTTTGATTTCATTTTCATCGTCTTCTTGTTTATACCTAGGGGCATAAAAATGGCCTGTGGACGGCCTGAAGCCCGCTTGCGGCCCGGGGTGGACCTGGCCCATTTAGGCCCGGGCCCAAGCCTATCCCGAGGCCTTGGACCTAGACCTAGGCCATCGTTTTGAAGCCCAGCTTGGCCCATTTGGCCCAAGCCATGGCTCGGCTCATTGGCCTGCTCAAGACTCATTTAGAAGCCCGGCCCGCCCAAGGCCTAGTGTTATTTTTAAGGGAAAAAAATAAAATTTTGGTGGAAAAAATAAAAAAAAAATTTTAAAATTTGTTGAGGCCCAGGCCCAGCAACCCGCCCAAAGCCCGAATACCCCTGGGCTTGGGCCTAATTTCTAGCCCATGGGCTAGCCCGATTTTTGGTAGGAGCCTGCAAGGCCCGACACGGACAGGACTGGGCCAAAATTACACCCCTCCTAGTCTACTCCCACCTTAATGGACATTATATACAAGGAATCTTCTATGATTCACACCTTTTCTTAGGAATTTATCATACATAAGTTATGATAATTTGTGATGTTAATATCATTATAATCAAATATCATTTGAGGCATAATAAAAAAAAAATTGCAATTATATAACTAAAATAATAATCATAATAAGTCATAATTAATACTATAATAAATTATTACCAAGTCATAACAAACAGTTAACTGACTATAACCAACGAACATAAAAGTCATAACAACAAATATGATACACTTTTTTTTTTTAAGTGTGTATTATAAAATTTTGCTATATATATAGGGTAAATTATACTGACACTCCCTGAGGTTTCTATTTAATACAGATCCCCTTCACGTTTAAAAAATTACATTCTTTTCCCTGAGGTTTATAATCTCATTACAAATTACCTCCTAAATTGCTGATATCATACTCTAAAATTTTCTAAATGATCATTTTGCTCTTTTTCCTACCATTTCTTCTTCTTATCATCATGACTACATTCTATAACTTTTCATCATTAAATTCTACCTAAACATATTCTTATTGAGTGATGATATACAAACATAAATTTTATATAAAATTTTCAAATACAATGATATAACTTAATGGTGACCTTTCACTTTAAAACAAAATATCCATAAACATAATTTATATTTATACTATCACAACATTTTTATGATATTTTTTGTATAAATTTTTATATATGAATAGAATTTTTTTTTTTTATTTCCACCATCATTTTTCTTTCCCGTGTATTCACCCACATTTATTGCAATATTACCAAACACTGTCATTCACGTTTATTACGGTACTACTGATTTTTTGTATTTTTGTATTTTTATATTTTTTTTTTGTATTTTGTAAATTTAAAAAAAATTACAAAATATTATACTTCTTAAGTATACTTAGATCAGGTGTATCTAAAAAATAAAAATAAAAAAATTGCTTAAAATATTTTAAAAAAATGAAAAATTAAAAAAAATTAATTTTTTGTGTGAGTTAAACCAAAGAAAATAATTATTATTTTTCTTGAAATGACATAAATAAAATAGCAGTGTTATTTTATTATTTTATATATATAAAGGTTAAGAGCTAAATATGTCATTTTAATCTGACAGGAAAGTAAGTGTAATTTTTTAAATGTGAGAAAAAGATTTATATTAAATAGACCTCAGGGGATATTAGTGTAATTTACCTATATATATATATATATATATGTTATACACACATGTTAGGTGCACATTGTACATCATGTACCTAATACAATATAGTGATTGTGGGCTACCATTTCCCTACTCTACTAATTAATTACAAGTTGCCCCTAGCTATTCCCAAGTTATTGTGTCAATTTTACTCGTGTACAAAGGGAATTTGTCTAACTTATTGATGGGTAATTATTTAGTTGTTCAAAATAATTGTGATTGTTTACATACGCCATGTTTGGTTTATATTTGTGAAATAATTTTGAAAAATAATTTTTTAGAAAGAGTTTATAAAATTAAAATTTTGTTTGATTGTATGTTTTGAAAATAATTTTAGAATTTGGGATGACTTATTTTTTATTTTTTTTTTGTAGTTTAATAAATAAAAAATACTTCATATCACTAATTCAATACCACTAATGACATGGCATCATGTGAACCCCACTATTGATATAATAATTTGGCCTTTGTTTTTTTGTTTTTTTTCTTGCACTTGCCAACTCATTAGTAGTGGTTTTAGAGCTACTGATTTAGTGCTCTAAATCAAAACTGTTAATAAATAGATGTAAAAGAAAAAGTAATTGATTGATGAGTAAGATGTGAGAGAAGAACAAAGGAAAGGGAAAAAACAATTGATTGATATGTGTAGTAGAGAGAAAAGTGATTTAAAAAAAAAAATTAAAAAAAATTTCAACCAAACAAATTTAAAAAAAAAAATTCTGAAAAATTGTCTCTCAAAGACAAACCAAACAAGATAGTGTTTCAAATTAATGACGCAATGAAAAATTTTACCGACTAAATAAATTGGCTCATCTTTGTTAATAGTTGAAAAACAAAATTATTTATCTTTGATTCACTAGAATAGAGTAGAATGTAATGATTATTTGATCAAAATATTCATTCTCATGTTTGTTTGACTACAAAAAAATAAATTAGAAATGGAATCATTATTCACCATTGTAAGGTAATGATCATTTCATAGAGCAGTTTAAGAAATGATCATTCCGTTCCATTTTATCTCATTCCAGTGAACAAAATAAAACATTAGTTTGTATTGCAATTTTTCATTGTTAAGATTGTCATACAGACAATGTTATATGGTACTTGAAAATATCTAATAATTTTATCATATAGAGTTATATAAATACAATAATATAAAGATTTTTTCATACCAAAAGGTATTTATCATTCATGGTAAGGGTGGGCGTCATATCCTATTGGGTCGTCTTCGTGCCATGTCATCTCGGGTTCGTGTCAGAATGACTTCAACACTAACCCAACCCATTTATCATTTCGTGCTATCGTACCGTATCATTTTTTATCCATGCCCGGTTCATATCGTGTTAATGTGCCATGTCAAAAAATTTCACTATTAATGAAAAATATCAAATGTATTAAAAAAAATTAAATTTTTTTTCACAAGTTAAATTCAATAAAACTAATCTCTATTAAATGCAATTATTTATAAAAATATTTGATTTCAACTTAATTTTATTTTCTTAATTTATAAAAATTATATTTTATTATTATATTTTTTTACTAGATTTACTCAAATAATAGACAAAAAATACATTAAGTTCAATTAAAAGCAAAAAAATTTCCCTACTCTACTAATTAATTACAAGTTGCCCCTAGCTATTGCCAAGTTATTGTGTCAATTTTGCTCGTGTACAAAGGGAATTTGTCTAACTTATTGATGGGTAATTATTTAGTTGTTCAAAATAATTGTGACATTGTTTACATACGCCATGTTTGGTTTATATTTGTGAAATAATTTTGAAAAATAATTTTTTAGAAAGAGTTTATAAAATTAAAATTTTGTTTGATTGTATGTTTTGAAAATAATTTTAGAATTTGGGATGACTTATTTTTTATTTTTTTTTTGTAGTTTAATAAATGAAAAATACTTCATATCACTAATTCAATACCACTAATGACATGGCATCATGTGAACCCCACTATTGATATAATAGTTTGGCCTTTGTTTTTTTGTTTTTTTTCTTGCACTTGCCAGCTCATTAGTAGTGCTTTTAGAGCTACTGATTTAGTGCTCTAAATCAAAACTGTTAATAAATAGATGTAAAAGAAAAAGTAATTGATTGATGAGTAAGATTTGAGAGAAGGAGAAATGAGAGGGAAAAAATAATTGATTGATATGTGTAGTAGAGAGAAAAGTGATTGAAATTTTTTTTTGTGTAATAGAGAGAAAAGTGATTGAAAATTTTTTTTTAAAAAAAATTTCAACCAAACAAATTTTAAAAAAAAATTCTGAAAAATTGTCTCTCAATGACAAACCAAACAAGATAGTGTTTCAAATTACTGACGCAATGAAAAATTTTACCGACTAAATAAATTGGCTCATCTTTGTTAATAGTTGAAAAACAAAATTATTTATGTTTGGTTCACTAGAATAGAGTAGAATGTAATGATTATTTGATCAAAATATTCATTCTCATGTTTGTTTGACTACAAAAAAAATAAATTAGAAATGGAATCATTATTCACCATTGTAAGGTAATGATCATTTCATAGAGCAGTTTAAGAAATGATCATTCTGTTTCATTTTATCTCATTCCAATGAACAAAATAAAACATTAGTTTGTATTGCAATTTTTCATTGTTAAGATTGTCATATAGACAATGTTATATGGTACTTGAAAATATCTAATAATTTTATCATATAGAGTTATATAAATACAATAGTATAAAGATTTTTTCATACCAAAAGGTATTTATCATTCATGGTAAGGGTGGGGGTCATATCCTATTGGGTCGTCTTCGTGCCATGTCATCTCGGGTTCGTGACTTCAACACTAACTCAATCCATTTATTATTTCGTGCTATCGTACCGTATCATTTTTGGTCCATGCCCGGTTCGTATCGTGTTAATGTGCCATGTCAAAAAATTTCACTATTAATGAAAAATATCAAATGTATTAAAAAAAATTAAATTTTTTTTCACAAGTTAAATTTAATGAAACTAATCTCTATTAAATGAAATTATTTATAAAAATATTTGATTTCAACTTAATTTTATTTTCTTAATTTACAAAAATTATATTTTATTGTTATATTTTTTTACTAGATTTACTCAAATAATAGACAAAAAATACATTAAGTTCAATTAAAAGCAAAAAAAAAACATAAATTAAATTTAAAATCATATTTTACATATTTTTAATAAACTGGATATAATTATGTAAGAGATTAAAAAATGTCATGATACTCTTTAGTAAAAATAATATTAAATTATGTAACTAAGTTTTCATTATAGAGTTATCTATGTCAATTTTGTGTTATATAGATTTGACACTAATCCGACATTTTAATATTCGTATTATCGGATCGTGTCATATATGTATTCTTGCCAAGAAATGATGAATTATAATCCACTAACTTCGTGTACCGTTCGAGTCGTATTATCATGTCGTGTTACAAATTCTATCCTTAATTCATGGTGAGATTCATTAAACTAATACAATTAAATTAATTATTACATTTCTTGTATGTCTAGTTTGATATAACTGTCACAATATTTATAAATTATATACTTATTTATTTTTTTACCTATTTGATGGACTATTATTGTCCGCGAGATTCTTGGGGAAATCTTGGTAGCGTATGCAAAATGATAAAATCATGATCCTTCTGTGTTTTTTTTTTTTTAAAATCATTTTATCATTTGTTTTTAAAAACTTACAGTACTCGCATGATTTTCTGATTTGTTTCGTGTCATTTCAATACCTTTTTCCATACCAATAATTTTTTTTTAAAATAATTTATATATAAACAATCCTTCAAGTTACCAAAGTACTTCCAATTATTCTGAAGACGTTCCAAGAAAAATAATAACATAAATTTTGTTTTATTTGGGTGAATAGAGCCCCTAGTTTTTGGATAAATATATAGACTTATTTTTAAAATTTGGTTAAAAATTATTTTTTAATCTATTTTGAGTCACATCACCTTTTTACTTTTTTAAACCTTTTTTCTTAATTTAAAAAAGTCAAAAAATCAACTTTTAACTTACTTCTCAAAACAAGCCATAATTTACTAAAAGTGTGGGCACACACAAACAAATCATGAGAAATAATTTCACAATTAGATCTAAAAGGGTTATTGTAACAATTAAAATAAAAAAAAATGTTTTAAGACACCTAATTTATTATTTCTAAAAAAATCATTTCTAATGACGTGTCTAACAAGTGTCAAATTTTAATTTATCAAACATTTCATCATGTGAAATTTAGCTTCAATACCACGTCATTAGGGGTCATTTAGAAGTAATAAATTAGAGGGGACATAGTATTGTTAATTAAAATAAGGATAATTAAATGAGTAATGTCGGAAAGAAAAAAAAAGTGTGTCATATACTTTATATAATAGTATAGATAGATATACAAAAAAATATTATGCTTACACAAAATTTATACCCAAAAAAAAAAAAAAATCACAAGAATAATGTAACAATATTATTCTTGTAAATAAAAATGAAACAAATGTTTACATTCAACCACATTATTCTACATAAAAAAATAAAATAAAACAAGTCTAAATTTTATGTTTATATCATTATATATATATGCAATACATGCAGAGAACACATAGTTCTCCTCCAGAGCCGAACTCTGAAACCCACAGTGAGGGACAACGAGGACGACCTCCAAGCTTGTCGGTCCATGACCATTTTCCATTGATGTCGAAAGTCAACTCACAAGAAGTCATAACTTGCAAAGGTAAGCAACCTCCTTCCTTCCTTCGTCTGTATGTCTTTTAACTTGGTTTCTCTCTCAACAACACACATACAAATATCCACCTACTAGCTAAAAGCCTAATTCATAACATTCAGGTTCAAGTCCACCACAATATCTGCGACCTCTCTCTCTCTCTCTCTCTCTTGCACAAACACAGATTTAATGGATTCTAATCCGTGAACATAATCTTGAAGTTCCATCGCCACAACTTCTCTCTGTATCCGATGGATCATATCTAGTATTTTTAGTATTATATACATATATATGTATATATTATCATATAAATATCATGCAATCTACATATTAATACTTTTTTAACATTTTCTTTTGGTATTGTATATATATATATATATATGTGTGTGTGTGTGTGTGTGAGTGTGTGTGTGGCAGCGGTGGTGTGTTGGGCAGCAGGAGAGGCAGTGAAGGTGGAAGAGATACACGTGGATCCCCCTAAATCATATGAAGTTAGATTTAAAATGCTATGTGCCAGTCTCTGCCACACCGATATCCTATGCTGCAATGGCTTTCCAGTCGTTAGTACACACTACCACTTCCTTCTAATTAATGCTCTGTAAATTTTCCACACATTTCCCCATTATCTCGGCTGATCATCCCATTTTCCCTTTCCTTTTCCAGCCTTTGTTCCCTCGAGTTCTCGGACATGAGGGTGTTGGGTAAACCCTCTCTCTCTCTCTCCCTCTAAAGAAATTACAACTATTGACATGTAGTAGTAGTAGTGATGGTGGTATGTGAACTATTAAATTTGAATGCACGCATTATAGTAGAGAGCATTGGGGAAGGAGTGAGAGGTAAAAGGAGATATGGTGGTCCCCACATTCGTAGCGGAGTGTGGAAAATGCAAGAATTGTAGGTCGGGAAAGACAAACTTATGCCTGACCTACCCTCTATCAGCGTCTTTCACTGGACTGTTTCCTGATGGCAGCTCAAGGATGTCCACCAATGGAGGTCAACGACTCTACCACTTCCTGAGCTGCTCCACATGGTCTGAGTACACTGTCATTAATATCCACTACATTGTCAAGATTGGTCCGAGGATAGCTCTGCCACACGCTAGCTTCATTTCCTGCGGCTTTTCAACTGGATTTGGAGCAACATGGAAAGAAGCCAAGGTTGAAAAGGGTTCTACTGTCGCTGTTTTGGGTCTTGGCGCTGTTGGACTCGGAGTACGCTACCTACCTCTCAACTATATATATACATATCTAAATGAGTCTAATTTGGAAAACTGTGAGCCAGGTGATAGCAGGGGCTCAGACGCAAGGAGCGGGCAGAATAATTGGAGTGGACACAAACAAGAAAAAACGCGAAAAGGGAGTGGCCTTTGGAATGACTGATTTCATAAATCCCAGTGAGCATTCAAAAAAATCTATTTCAGAACTGGTTACAGAGTAGACAGGAGGATTGGGTGTGGACTACTGTTTCGAGTGCACTGGAGTTGGAGCCTTGGTCAATGAGACCATCAAATCCATAAAACCAGTATTATTATATAAAATCCCTACACATTCATATTCGTAAACACAAACACATACTAATATCTATACATATATAACGCACAAATTATCTCAACAATTTTGAGCTTACTAGTTAATGATAAAAGTTTTCAACTGTTTTCAAGCCTTCCTTTCAATGATTGTTCAGCTTAATTCTTATTTTCTTCTTTTGTTTGATGGTGGTGGTGGCTGTGTACGAGATCAGGGGGTGGGGATAGCAATATTACTTGGGGCAGGAACTCATATAAGTGCAGAAATCAACTTCATGCCCCTCCTTTCGGGCAGGGCGATGAAGTATTCTGTTTTTGGTGGGATAAAAGTTCAGTCCGATCTCCCTGTAATAGTTGGCAAATGCATAAACAAGGTATGTACGTATGTAATACATTCCTGTTTAGTGTTTATTACCAGTGTTGTGTCACTTACATATTGAACAAGTCTTTAATTTGCCAAGTAACTCAAATTACTATAATTCACTGGTTGATCCAGATATACAGGTTTGTTGAATCTAACTGAATGATAACTTTATCAGTTAATGAAAAAAATTAACACTTTGTTTAGATACACAAGAGGACGAGTAGAGGAAAATATAGTAGAATATGAGGGGAAGGAACAGAAGGAGAAGGGAAGAGAGTGAAGATGTCACTCTTCTTGTTTGGTTAGACAACAACTAACCATGGAAAAGAAAGAGTGATCTGCACTTCCTCTTGATTATTAGAGAAAAAAGGTGCTCACATTGTGAGTCCACTTTCCTCTCACAACCCATATTCCCTTCTTGAAAACAATCCAAACATGCCAGGGTTCAAATTCTATAGCTATCAAAAATAATTTTTCAATGACCTATTGAGAAGAGAAAAAAAAAAACCGAATGTTTTTTCGTTTTGTTTTTTCCTTGCAGGAAATCGATAATATGGATGAGCTCTTGACTCATGAAGTTCAACTGGAAGATATAAGCAGCGTATTTGAGGTGTTGAAGAAACCAGACGGTGTTAAAGTTCTGATCAACTTTTAATTAATCTCAGCCAGAACTCCTAGTATGTGTGTCAGCTACAGTAATAAGCTTGACCACTATATATGTATGTAGTCAGCAGCACCTTTGGATTGACTACTTTTATGCAGCAGCTGCATAAATTCGAATATGCTAAAGATTCCATATTAAATATATACTATATTGTTTTTTTTCCGCATCATTTATTACAAGTTTTCAAAATAATGGAATTTCAGCATCATGTGATTACTCAATTTTATTGTTCTTTCAACATGCAAAATTTCTAATATTTTCAAAGCACAAGCAATTCAATCTATCCTGTATCCAAAGCTCCAGTTCAACTTTAGTTTTTTCGTCAAGATAAAATAAAATATAATCACTTTAACTTTGCCCAGGTATTTCAATTGCATATTCATTAGATAGACTCACTCGTAGGTCTGTCATCAGGTACTCTCTCATACACAGATTCACTTGTAGGTTTTGTTGTCTTTATCGTTCTCAAAAAAGAGCTAAACAGCAATTTACCAAACAAAAAGCTTTGCTTCCCTCAAAAAGAAATCAGATTTAGTGAAAAACCATCCAAACTTTTTCAGAAGTACATAAAAAAGATAGCGCTGGTGAACAAATTGAAATGAGAGATGATGATGACCATGACCATGATCATGATGATGGATGGAGGATAAAGATACGGACAATAACTCCCACCACATGACCATCTCGTAGGGAATAGGGATGCAGATACTTTCAAGTTCCAAAAGCGATCACAGAATCACACCATGACACCACCTTTAACGTGGGATTCTTTTCAAATGTCTGAATTTATGATCGCATGTGCATTTTAGAATCACTGGATTCCAAGAAGAAAAAAATCAAAATTTCCAATGCCCATATTTGCTTGCCTATCAAATCTTGGAGGGAGAACATATTGGCATAAAAGCACTTGGAAGAGTACAAACCAAAACATGTGTCAAATGAAAAGCCAAATAATTCCAATTCAAGACAGGAATGGAGAGTAGAGTTGAGCCCAAGGATAATAATTGGAGTGTTGAGAAAAAAGAAAGGCAAAGATGTAGAGCAGGCTAACTCTATTGAAGAGAGGAGTGTGATTTTCATCCACAACTTAGTTTAAGGTACTATTCTTGTGTGTGCCAAAGGAAGAAAATGTTTTAAAAGATGATTCAAATAGCAAGATAAGAACAACTTGTCTTCCCAAGAAAACCAAGTGGGAAAGGGGGTGTGGCCTCTTTTCCAAAGGAGCCAAATGAGGTGTGTCCTTTCAAATAAGAATGTGGCCATAGGGCAGTTGGGGAGCACACCCTCCACTAGAAATTAAAACCAAAACAAGCTCAAGGAAAAGATCCGCAACCACAAACTTCCTAGGACAAGGTGATGTGCAGTTTTCCTCTAGTCTAGTGTTGTTTGAGTGGTGGTATTATCTTTGGTTTTGTTGCCTTTAGTGTTTCCTCCTCTTGGTGTGTGAGGATTTTTGTTCTCCTTTGGCCACCCTTAGTTGCACAAAACGGGAGTGAGAGTGAGAGCGAGAGCGAGGAAGCACGGGCCAATAGAAGTTTCTTAGGTTGGGAGCGCCTCGGGGAGCAGTAATATATATATATATATTTTTTAATACACATTCGAAGTTTTTTTTATAAATATTTTTATTTTAATACACATTAATTATTTTATTTATTTATTATATTTTTTAAATAATGTACTATTGTTTATTTTTTTTAATTTTATTTTACGTATGTGTTCGTGTTTTTTTTATTAATACGTATAATATATACTCATATATATATAATATATATATATATCTTATATATATATATATATATATTACTTATATTATATAGATCGTGAGAAGGAGAGAGAGAGAGAGCGCGAGTGAGAGAGAGAGAAGGCAAAGACGAAGGCGATCGCGAGCAGATCGAAGGCGAGAGCGAAGGTCAACGTCAATGTCGAAGGCGAAGGCAAAGGCGAAGGCTAAGGCTAGGGCTAGGGCTAGGGCTAGAGCAAAGGTCGACATCAAAGGCTAGGGCTAGGGCTAGAGCGAAGGTCGAAGTCGATGGCGAGACCAGGTTTCTCTCTCTCTTGGACTGAATCATGTTTTCTCGCTCCACAGAAACGTGATTCTTACACGTTTCTTTCTAGGAAACACAGAATCGCGATTCATACTCAAAATCGCCACCTGGCTGCACGATTCCTGCAACTAACGGCCTACCCTCTTGGGATTGTGGGTGCCTTTCTTTTTAGGCTTGGTCAATTTTAGTGTTGCCTCTTTGTGAGGTTGTGGCCTTTTGGCCATGTCCTTGTATGTCCTTTTCGGACTTAAGTCCTGAGTTTTGTTGTATATCGTCTCTCTTTTTTGGTAATAAAATGCTTACTCACCACAAAAAAAAAAAAAAAAAAAAAAAAAGAACCTTCAATTAGCAATCAATGCCACATAGACTTTTAGCTGTACAGACAAATTTCTGGGATAAATAGAGAACTGTGGAGCCAGGGGAGCACAAAAGGTTGTGGTGTCAAGAATGTTGTGGGCAGACAGTTAGCATATAAGAGGATCTAAGGGAGGATGTTCCTATTATGCAATCCTAAATTGTTTGCAAATTCCAACTAAAATTTAATTCCATTTGGAACTCCACACTTCTCTCCATCGCAATCATCTTGACATGTTGCCTAATGTCTCCAATGCCTGTTAGGAAAAAGGTTCCCTGCCATCTTCATTGGCCCCTCAACCCACTTTTGGACATGACTAAATGAAATAAGCCCCTTCGAAAAATGTCCATGAAGCAATTACATTTACAACTATGAAAAAGATCAATAAAGCCAATAAACACGGTTTCCAATCTGTGAAAAGCAGCAAGAAGATACAAAGCTATTTCTCAAAGTTTCTGAAACTAGCCTCTAGAAGAAAATGGTAACCAATCTCCCACTTTGTATTATACCTTAAACAATACTTCGCAGCTTAAAATATGCAGAGTTCCAATATCTTAAAATTTAAGAAGAAACCAACACAACTTAAAGCAAACATATTGTTATTGACCTAGGTCATAAGAATCATACCCAGTGCACACAAGGTTCCTCTTAGAGCAGGGTCTGGGAGAGGTAGTAAGTAGGCAGCCTTGCCTTCATTTGTTTATGAAGAGGCTGATTCCTATGACTTGAACCAGCTCCTCACGGACATATATTTATGAAATTTTCAATGAATTTTCCCTCACCAAAGTACGTATTCAACTAGTTGAAATGAACCTTAGTTTTTTATTATCACGCAACAAACAGAAGCAGATCTTACATGGTAGCTTCTTCTGGGTCACTTGCAATTGGCACAGCAGGCATATTATTGCCACCTCTCAACCGTGAAGACACGTTGTCGATGGCAGAATTGAGTTGGCTAATCTTTGCATTCAAGGTCTGCCTGGTTTTCTGCATTTCAGGAAAAAATAAATTATAGCAATGTAATCCATATTTCAATCAGGAGAACTTTAGTGCACAGCCAATAGCAATTAATCACCTCTAAACCTTCATCATAATATATTGGTCGCCTGGCTCTCCGGAAGCCATATTCATCTTCATTTAGCAATGATCTTCTGATCTAAAAAATGGGGAGAGAGAGAGAGAGAGAGATCAAACAAACTCTAAATTGGAGCAAACCATAAGTCCAATTAAAGCATAAACCACAAATCACAATCCCAAATGAAAATAGAGCATAGACCTAAACACTTTAGATGCAGAACTAGAGAGAGAGATGAAGTTTCACATTTTAGTCCAATAATTATGAAAGGAACTTCAGACAGTATGTAATTCTTCTGTATATTCAATTGTATCGTAATACAAAGGATACATCTGATTATATAGTACTCCTCACCCTAAGACTAAAAAGGAAACAAAAATATTCACCCAATCTCTCACAATCTCTCAGAATATATATAGAATACACTACCACATATACACAATATTCTCACACCTCTGCTCAAACGCAAGGTGTTGTAGCAGAAAACAATGAGAGTTTGCTAAGAAGAAATTGAAACTATGCAGTGGTGTGAGTCTTAGTAAAGAAGTCAGCAAGTTGCAAAGCTGAAAAGAAGAAAGAAAGCGAGATAGACCTAGAATGCAGATGCTGACAGACAAAGTGACAATCAATCTCAATGCAATCTAAATAACACTGTGGTTGTCATAATAGAGGTCAGTCAGAGAAGACAAATGCCTAAGTCAGAAAGAAGACAACGAAGCCAAACAACTTCAGCAGTAGCATGAGCCATAGCACAGTACTCAGCTTCGGCAGTAGACCGAGCAATAACAGTTTGTTTCTTACCTTTTCAAGAGATCAAGGAATCGCCAAGAAACATACAAAAGTCAAAAGTGGACTTACGATCAATAACATCACCAGCCCAATTAGCATCAGAATAGGCCACTAACTCCAAGGGAGAAGTAGAAGATAACAGCATGCCTTGGAAGATAGTATCGCGAAGATAGTGAAGAATCTGAATCAAAGCAACCCAATGTGTAGAGCGAGGAGCATAGGCAAGATCAAGGCGCGTAACCATCAAAACTACGCAACCCACAATTTCGCGATATAAAGTAGAATCATCCAGAAGGAAGCCATTAGTAGTATTGAGCTTCACATTAAGCTCAATGGGAGAATCAGAAATCTTAGTGTCAGTAAGACCGGCACAATAAATAACCTCATTGGCATACTTGGCTTGAGACAGAAAGTAACCCTTGGGAGAAGAAACCACCTCAATATCAAGAAAATACCGCAAGAGTCCTAGATCCTTCATTTCGAAAATGCGGAAAAGATGCTACTTGACCTTAGAGATAGCAGAAGAGTCAAAGTCAGTGATGATCATATAATCCACATACAGTAATAAAGTAACAAAACCAATAGAGGTATAGAGGAGAAACAAGGCAGAGTCGAACCCAAGCTCAATAACAGCTGTCTGAAAGCGATCACACCAAGTACGAGGAGATTGCTTCAAACCATACAAAGCACGCCAAAGACGACAAACCTGTCCAGAAGAATGATAAAGGCCCGGGAGAGGACGCATGTATACCTCCTCAGTGAGATGGCCATTAAGAAAAGCATTCTTAACATCCATCTGATAAAGAGGCCAATGACGAACAGCAGTAACAGAAATCAAAATACGGACAGTAGTCATATTGGCAATAGGTGCAAAGGTCTCCTCATAATCAATACCACACTCCTGTAAAAAACCTTTGGCAACTAGGCAAGCTTCGTAGCACTCAAGGGAACCATCAGAATGAGTCTTGACTTTGAAGACCCATTTGCAACCAATCATATTCTTGCCAGCAGACAAAAAAACCAGTTCCCAAGTACTTGTCTTCTGCAAGGCAGACAACTCATCCTCTCTAGTTTGAATCCAATTAAGATCCAAACAAGCCTTCTTGTAAGACTGTGGTTCTGAAAAAGAGTGAATAATAGACAAAAATGTACAATATGAAGGAGGAAAACATGTGTTAGAAAAACCAAGTTTGACAAACTGTTTACGGATGCGAAGAGGATACTTACGGAGAGCAAGATCAGAGTCGTCAGAAACAGGAAGAGCAACAGTAAAGGGAGAAACAACTGGTAGAGAAAGAGCCTTGCGACAAGAATAGACTAACGGAAAAAAAGAAGGAGCAGACGGGAGAGAAGAGGGAGAGGAAGAAACAGACTCATAGGGTACATTGGAGAGGGACTCAATAGAGGGGTGTTAGGAGGAGAAGAAGGAACAAACTTATGGAAAACAGGAGAGATGTACTCATCAGGAGGGACCTCAGAAGGAAACGGATCAATGTGAACCAAACCCTCTTTAGAAATTGGAGCAGTGAGAGGCAGAAGCTAAAAGTAAGCGAGACATTCCAGAAAGGCAACATGACGGGAGACATAAAGGCAACGGGAAACAAGATCGTAACAGCGATAACCTTTCTGAATAAGACTATAACCCAAAAAGACACACAGGACAAACTGGGCACTAAGTTTTGTCCTATCTTTCGGAGGAAGAAAGACAAAACGCGCAGACCCAAAAACACGAAGGAGAGAATAACTAAGAAAATGAGAAAACAAAGCCTCATAAGGAGAACGACTAGATAGTAGAGGTATAGTTATACCACTGAAAAGAAAAGTAGTTGTAAGAACAGCCTAAAAAAGAGTTGGAACAGAGGCAGAAAGAAGGAGAGATATAGATGTCTTAAGAAGATGACGGTGTTTAAGCTTCGCACGACTATTTTGGACGGGTGTATCAGTACATGAGGTTTGGTGAATGGTACCCAAATTTGCTAGATACTCACAAAACTCAGTTTTAAAATATTCCCCTACCTAGGTCAAACCGTAATAATTTAATGGTAGACCCAAACTGTGTAGTGATCATAGACTGAAAGGTACGGTATATTTGGTAGAAGTCAGATTTATGAATTATAAGATAAACCCAAGTATAGCAGGTGCAATCATCCACAAAAGACACATAGTATGCAGATTCCTTTTTAGAGAGAATATGAGAGGGTCCCCAAACATCCATATACACGAGAAAAAGGAAAAACAGAAATAGAAATACTTTTATTAAATGGTAAAGTTGACATTTTGGCAAGTTTACACCCTCGACATTCATCAATGATACTAGGAGAAACTTTACAAAATAATCCTGACTGAGTCAAAGACCGTAAGCAGTCAACAGAAAAATGACCTAGGCGAGAATGCCATAAATAAAATTGACTTGACTGAGAATCTAACTGAAATGAGGAAAGTACAACTGGAGCGGTGGATAAAGGAAGATGCAAGCTTTCTGCCACATAGAGATCTCCAACTCTACGGTCGGTCCCAATCTGCTTCTTGGACAACCGATCCTACACATAACAAACAAAAGAGGAAAAGACAACATCAAAATTAGAAACATCAAGTTGGTTTATAGATAATAAGCTGACAGATAGCTAAGGAACATAAAAACAGAGAGAATAATAACAGCAGACATGGTAGAAGGTAAGACAGACCCAATAAACACAGTAGACATACTAGACCCATTAGCAGTATTAATAATAATAGGAACAGGAGGAAGACTACAGTTTTGAAGTAAAGAAAGGTGAGGAGTCATATGATAAGAGACACCAGAATCAAAGAGCCAAATGGAATAAGGGATATCGGAGGAAGACCCAAGCAAACCTGAATGAAGAGGGGTAAAAGCGGAGGCAAATGGTGATGGTTAAAAGGTGGACAGGATTTGCTGAAGTTAAGCAATCTAAGCACTCAAGAAAGCCAAGTCAGGATCGGGAGGAGCAGATGTTGTATAAGCGGTAAGAGGCCAGAAAGTACTCGGAGCAGGACGGCGAAACTTTGTCTGAGGTGGTTGATAAGACGAAGCAGGCTGACGTCCTTTCTTGGGACAATTATGCTTCCAATGGCCCCTCTAATGGCAGAAAGCACACTCATTTGAAACTAGGGGCCCTTTCTTGGGCTTTGCAGTGGCCTGAACCAGATAAGAAGGTGGGGTCGATAATAATGGAGGTTGAGCAAGAGCTAGGAAGATAGATGGAGACGGAGTCTGACTGGCCATCTTGAGACGGGTTTCCTCGAAGAGAAACTCACGAACAATGGCATCCACATAGGAAAGAGGAGACCGGTGAAAGATGCCACCATGGATAAACTCATGCTGGGGGAAGAGAGCCATTAAGAACTACACTAAACGACCCTGCTCCCAAAACTCAATATAAGCATCTAGAACCTTGAGGCTGGAAGGTTCCATAAGAGTCAACTGATCCCAAAACCTGTCATCTCAATATAGAAATCCTGAATAGATAGATCCCGCTATCCAACTTATACCGCTTCGCAAAGTTGGATTACTGATAAACACTTTGTAAGTAATCCCACACTTCTTTGGCAGTGCTGTATTTAGAGAACATCACCCCGATACGGTCATCAACGGAGTTATGGAACCAAGTCAAAATTTGGGCATTATTACAATCCCAAGTGTCACAGGAAGTCAGATATCCTTCTTGTTTTGGATCCGATGGACGAGGAAAAGAACCAGAAACATATCCCTATTTTTTCGATTGAGAAGAAAATTTTTCATAACACTAGACCAATAAGCATAGTTGTTACCTGTAAGTTTGCATTTAATAACCTGAATTTTATCTTCTGACATTGTAATGAACTAAAAAGAAAAGAGAAAGGAACTGATGGGCAAAGTGTAATAACCCAATAAATCTAAGGGGTCAAGCTATAATAACCCAAAGCTACCACAGATGGGTCAAATACTGGTGGACCGAGATCAGATACAACATGAAGAGAGAGAGTGCTTCGTGATAAGAGAATAGAGACGAAAGACGAAGAGATTCGATCGACACAGCTAGAAAGAGAACCAAAAGTCGAGCAAGGATCCAAAGCAAGGCAGAGGTCGCGAGAGAGAGAGAGGGAGAGAGAGAGAGATCCCTCAAACCCAAACTAGAGTCCTGACTTCAGACCAGGCACTAGAAGTCTATCGTGACTTCAGAAAAGACCAGAGAAGTCTGTCGCAACTTCGGAGAAGAACAGAGAAGGCTGTCACGACTTCGGAGAAGCCCAGAGAGGCCTTCGTGACTTCAGACAAGGCTAGAGAAGACTTCAAACAACAAGCGTGAACGAAAGAAAAAAACTTCGAATGATCAAGGCCAGACCTAGGGTTTCGAACGTGGCTCTGATACCATGTAAGTTTTCTATATATTCAATTGTATCGTAATGCAAATGATACATCTGATTATATAGTACTCCTAACTATAAGACTAAAAAGGAAACGAAAATATTCACCCAATCTCTCACAATCTATTAGAATATATACACAATACACTACCACATATACATATATACACAATATTCTCACACAGCAATGATGAAAAATATTCAAAGAAAACAGTCATTTGGAAACTAGGGGATACAAATATTGTAAAATGGATTTTGAAGTACAATAGTCAAAATCAAAGAAGCACGGACATGGATGAGGAAACATGGACATGGGACACTGTGATTTCAAAAAAAAATGACACACAGTGGAGTCACGACAAAAAAATATATGTTCATATATTGTTATTTGCTATGTAGATTAATATTACACATAAACAATCAAAATTAACAAAAACTAACACTAATTCAATATTTTAAAAAAATAACTTTTAAATTAACACTTATATATTTTTAATGGATGATTTATGGATTATTTACACAGAGACCCCTAAACTATTGAGAAGTATCATTCTAACCACTAAACTATTGGCGCGTTTCACTTTGACCTCTTCTCTTCCATTGTTGCACCGTGAGTTAAACCAAACTTTTGATATTTTTAGATGCAAATACCCTTTAGCACTATATATATTTATAATTCCATTATTATTGTTTTTTAAATATAAGCATTCATCTATTATTATTGTTTTTTAAATATTCTTTGTAAACATATTTTTGTAGAAAGAATATTTTTTTAAAAAAAAATAATAAAACAAAAAAAACTCATATTATATATCCGTATTAGTTAGTTTAATGAATGCTTACTTTGAAGTTCATGCATCCCAAAAATCTCCTAAGAATATTCTCTATGAATATAGTTCTCAAAGGAGCTCTCATGCCACAGTAGCAGTACACATCACCAAAATTTTGTGGTTGTTGGCTATTGAATGTGATTTCCTTCTTGTTTGAGCTTGTGTTACTACTGGATGTCATTTTTATAGTGTTTGGTGAATTATGGAGAGGAAGAGGTTTAGGGAGAGGGACTAGAGTAAAATTAAGAGTAAGTGTTGTTAGGTGTGTTAACTGCGACAAGGTTGTTTAACAACTCCACCAATCCCAAGCCCGAGGTTGTTAGGTAGCTGACAGTCAACATGTAAAAAAGCCACTCGGATTCCTTATGAAAATGAATCCTACTTTGAATCGATTAAATGCTAGATCGTTCCCCTTAAGTGACGCATTGCACTTGCCTCCGAGTGTTTCGAAAAGTGAGCAAAGGGCGCCGCATCAACGCCTGAATGTAGTAAAAAATGGACAAAGGTTTCTGCGTTTTTCTGGACGAGCGCGGATAAAGAAACTAGTCAAAGACTATATATTTAAGATAGCCACATGGAGTGTAGGAACTTTAACTGGAAAGGCTATGGAATTGGTAGATGTCGTGATTAATAGGAGAGTTAGTATAACTTACATACAAGAAACTACGTGGACGGGTGAGAAAGCTAGGGAAATAGAAAATAACGGTTTTAAACTATATTATAGTGGCAAGGATAGACACAGGAATGTGGTAGGAATAATAGTTGTCAAGGATCTTGTAGAATATGTAGTTGCGGTCATTAGAAAAGATGATAGGATTACGTTAGTTAAACTAGTTATTGGAGAGAATATAGTGAACATAATTAGTGCATACGCCCCCCAAGTAGGATTAGATGATCAGACTAACAGTGATTTTTGGGACCAAATGGATGAGGCATTACAGGAGATACCCGTTTGAGAGAAGAGAACCTAGTTATAGGTGGTGATTTCAACGACTATGTAGAAATAGATAAACTAGGTTATGAGAGATTGCATGGTGGGTATGGTTTTAGTGATAAAAATGAGACTGGAGAGAGTATTTTAGATTTTGCGTTGGCTTCTGACCTAGTGGCGGCCAATACTATGTATAAGAAGAAAGAAGAGTATTTGATAACCTTTAAGAGCGGGTCAATTAGAAGCCAAATAGATTACTTTTTAATAAGAAAAGTGAATCGTCTAAAATGCAACGACTATAAGGTAATTCATGGAGAGAACCTGAGACTCAATATAGGATTTTGGTACTAGATTTATGCTTTAAAGGGCAATACCAAGCTAAGAAGGATAGTGGGCGTTCTAGGACGAGATGGTGAGACCTAAAAGGAGATAAACTAAAAATATTTAATAATAGAATGGATAAAGAAGATACTTGGGATTTGGAAGATGGTACTAACACTATGTGAAACTCGATGGCCAATTGTATAAGGAAAATCTCAAGGGAAGTTCTTGGAGAGTCGAAAAGAAATAGACCCAACACTAGAGAAATTTAGTGGTGGAGAGAGGAGGTTCAAGCGGTAGTAAAAATGAAAAAAAACAATGCTTTAAAAAATAGCAGAATGATAAAATTGAGGAAAACATTAAGACCTATAGAATAGCTAATAAGGAGATCAAAAAGTAGTGAGAGACTAAATTGAAAGTCTATGATGACCTATACACTAGACTAGATAGTTAGCAGAGAAAGAAGGAGATATACAAACTCGCTAAGATAAGAGAGAGGAAAACAAGGGATTTTAATCAGGTTAAGTGCATCAAGAATGAAGACTCTAAAGTGTTAGTGAAGAATAAAGAGATTAAGGAAAGATGGAAGAACTATTTTGCGAAGTTGTTAAATGAGGAACATAGAGATAGGTCAAAAGGGGAGGAAGTAGGCAGTAATAAGAAAAAATCAGGACTACAGGTTCTATCGTAGGATTAGGAACTTTGAAGTGGAGATTGCATTTAAGAAGATAAAATCAAATAAGACTTTAGGACCCGATGATATTCCCGTTAAAACTTGGAAATGTTTGGGTAACAAAGGGGTTGCTTAGTTGACTAGGCTATTTAGCAAGATTTTATTGACTAGGAAAATGCCTGAGGAGTGGAGGAAGAGTATTTTAGTGCCAATCGATAAGAATAAAGGAGATGTCCAGAACCGCAACAACTATAGAGGAATCAAGCTAATGTGTTATATAATAAAAGTGTAGGAGAGAGTGATAAAACGTCGATTGCGAGATATAACAGAGGTGTTAAGAGAATCAATTTGGATTTATGCCTGATAGGTCAACAATGGAAGCGATCTATTTTTTAGGAGAGTAATAGAAAAGTATAGAGAAAAAAAAAAAAGAAAAGATATTCATATGATTTTTATCAATCTTAAGAAAACATATGATAGAGTGTTTTAAGAAAACATAGATATAATCTGATAGATGTTAAAAAAGAAAGAGGTGACAAAAGGTTACGTCGATATAATTAGGGATATGTATGAAGGTGTGGTGACCATTATTAGATCACCTGCTGGAGGGACAGGTGAATTTTCAATTACTGTAGGGTTACACCAAGGATCAACCTTAAGTCCTTAACTTTTTTACTTTAGTTAAGGATGAATTGACAAGAAATATTCAAGAAGATGTGCCCTGGTATATGTTTCTTGCAGATGATATTGTGTTAGTGAATGAGACTAGAGAAAACACTTGGAGAGAAGCATTTGAATCTAAAGAATTTAAGATAAGCAGAACTAAGACAGAGTACATGGAGTTAGTAACAGTAACAATGGAAGCAGAGAAGAAGTAAAAATTGAGAACCAAGAACTATCGAAGAGTGAACATTTCGTTATTTAGGATCGATTATCACAATGGCTAGAGAGATTGGAGTGGATGTGGTCCATAAAATTAAAGGAAGATGGCTTAAGTGGAGGAGTACGTTTGGGGTACTATGCGATAAACGAGTACCCACGAGACTAAAAAGGAAGTTCTATAGAACAGCAATTAGGCCAAGGATATTGTATGAGACGGAATGTTGGGCAACAAAGATAAGATGAGTGTTGCTGAGATGAAGATGTCAAAGTTGATGTGTAACAAGACTAGAAAAGACAAAATTAGGAATAAGTATATTCGAGAATGGGTAAGAGTAGTACCGATAGAAGATAAGTTGACAAAGAATAGATTGAGATGGTTTGGTCATATACAACGGAGACTAACAAAGACAGTAGTGAAAAGATGCAATATAGTGACAGTAGATGGAAATGTTAGAGGAAGGGACAGACCTAGATTGACGTGGCTAGTGTAGTAAATAGAGATATGAATCTCCTTAATTTGACTAACGAAATGGTCTTGGATAGAGTCGAGCCGACCCCATTTGATGGGACTTAAGACTTAGTTTGGTTTGATTTGATTTTGTTGTTGGGTGTGTTATATAGAGTGTTAAAGGGTATTTTCATCTCAAAAATGTACAAGCTTAGTTTAACTCACAGTGCAGTAATAGAAAGGGTCAAAGTGAAACACGCCAATAGTTTAGAGAATCTATTTGTATGCTTTTATAGTTTAGGGGGTCAAAGTGATACTTCTCAATAGTTTAGAGGGTCCATTTGTACATTTTCATAGTTTAGGAAGTCAAAATGACACTTCTCAATAGTTTAAATGGTCTACGTATAAATAACCCATCATCTATTAAGTATTTAAATTTAAGCAAAAAGTAATAAACATTCAACATCCAACATCCATCAAAAACATCCATCAAAAGCACTAAAGAAAATTGGGAGAAAAAATAGTTGGTGTGTCCTCAGAAAATTAATTAATTAAATAAAGGGACACGCCACGTGGCACATCCCATATGTGTCCCAGCATCCGATATCAATACAGCACTTGTTTTGAAGTGTTGTGCTTCATAGGTCAAAATGCTTCAAGGCGCAAATAAAAAATTAATCATCACCAACATGATTTCAAAGCAATTGAGTATTATATGTGAGAAGTGTTGGAAAATGGCTACCCAACAATCACTCAAACAATTTTGGAAGACAATTGGAGAAGGAAATCTTTTAATTCATATTACACACATACTTCAAATAACTAGATTACAAACATATATATATATATATATGAAGTTCTAAAACAACTCTTTAGATTCTAACATTAACACTATTCAACACAATATTAAGAGTCATTTCCTCCACCAGACTATGTAACCACAAAAACATGAACATATCACAAAATACCACTAAAGTTTCTTGACACACAACTACATGCATGAACTTATATAGTAACTCCAAAATTACTAAAAACAAGTTTTTTTCCTACAAGAAGACATTGATCACTGGAAGAGATGCAAAGAATAGAGGAATGATCTAGATTCATTTATCTGATTTTCTTGACAAGGAAATTGAAGCCAGGATACAAACGTGAAAACTAATCACTCCTAAATCCTCATCCAATATGCAAAACCAGGCGAGTCTACTTTTAAGAGATCATAAAGTACAGAATTGCAACAATTATTCCCCTGATCTCTCAACAGATGTGTCTTGGAATAAAAACACAAAAACCCCTCATACTCTGATTTCTATATGCAAAAATCCTAGTACTACAGGGTGGGTCTGAGACAACAAAGAGAAAGGGGGGTTGTTCACTATCCAAAACTGAACCTAATACTCCCAAACATATAATAGTACATGTAGGTGTGTATACTGTCAACTCAAGTTACCTGTATTCAGAATAAAGGCATGTGGCAACTTATTCTCAACATGAACAATCTTTCACTTTCTTTTCTTTTTTTTTCGGAATAAATAGAACATTCTTTCACATAATTGACAAGGGAAAAAACGGTGTCGTTCTTGTAGAGTCACAAATTGAACTCTCACACCTGTAGACTATTACTTTATTACATAGGAATAGCTGGGTGCTAATTGGTGGAGATAACAGATTAAAGCTTAATGGAAGCTAAGCTATATAATCACCTGGGGAGCAAAAATATATGCCAGAGTTCCAAACAATGCACTTCCCACAAGGAAACCTGCAACAAAGTCACCTCCTCCACCTCTACGATCACTGCATACAACAAAAGAAATGATAGCCAAAAAATAAAAATAAAAATAAAAAAAGTTGTACTTTGAGTAGACATAGAGCAGTATAATTATCACAAATAAAATTCTTAACGTGAGGCGCTAATCAAGAAATAAGGAAACAGTAATATAAATTTGCAAAATGAAAACACCACCTTCTACCTAGAAGGCTAGAAGACAAGGCCCACCAGGTATTTATCTCATCTCATCTAAGGCAAGCAGGATACAGCAACAAGTCACATTATACAAAAAGCAAATTAATCAAGCTATGCAAAAGAGAAGAGAGCAAAAGAAGTTGTTTCTATCATTCTAGATAAGAAGTTTTGAATGATTGCTTAATCATTGTTAAGATTGTTAAGCCACTCATGCAATTCTTGCATATTGTTGATGGAGATGAAAGCCTTCTATGAGATATGCTTATGAGGTCATGCATGGGGCACACATAGCTATTAAGAATGTTTTCAAGAAGAAAAAAAGAGATTATATAAGCCTTATACAACTACCATTAAAGAGCATTGGGATAAGCAATTACACAGAAACATCCATGCTGCACGCAGCTTATTGGTTGAATCTGCCTTTTGAAATAAATAATTATAAACTACATTAGTAAAGTGGAATTAGTGGATAAGCAACAACCGTAGTCAACATATAGAATCCCAAGGAATATCAATATTGCAACTCATATTTGACTACCAAATACAGCAAGCTGCAAATATGAGGGTCTCTATCTGCCCATGGTTAGAATAAGGAAATTATATTCAAATATTTTATTCTGATTTGTTTTTATTCCTTGATTGATGTAATGGGCTGTCATGAGCTGGCCCGTAATTCATGCCTTATGGCACTCTTGTAATTATGCTTTATTCTCAATATAAAAGGGATGAGATCTCACCCATTCCCTATCTCTTTCTCTTCTCTAAACTTACACTTTCTTTTCTCTAAACTTACGTGGTATCAGAGCCACAATGGGAGGAACCTAACACCAATCACAGCCACTTTACTTCCACCGAAGGACTGCCTAGGCCACCCAAACCCTCGCCTGGGACAGCCGACCCCTACCCAAGCCAACTGAAGAAAGCTCTTGGTCATTCAGCCCTAACCCAGTTAAGCCGAAGGTCAGTCGGCTCTCTACCATGGCAGCTGAAGCCTTCTCTGTCCTCCTCTAGGCCTGTTGGCAGCCCTAGCCTGTCCTTTATAGGTCTGTCGACAATCCTGGAGGCTCCGTAGACCACTTCCAATCAACTCCTAGTTCAGTCCATTGGCTTCTTTGTCTCCTGGTTGGTTGACTGGTGTCTAACAAATGGGTTACGCTCTTGTCGTGGCATATACATCTATAAAACCTTCTCTCTTTTCTTAAAAAAAAAAAAAAAAAATTCTATATGAGTTCTCAATTTGTTATGCTTTCATAATGGTAGTTGTGTCTTTCCTTCCACTATTATCTTTCAGGTTTGTGATTGGCACTGTGTTTGAGAGTTACATAGGAGAGTATCCATGGCAGATTTCCTTAGTGAGTCCACTACTTCTCAGCCACCTAAGAGCGAAAGTTCCAATATACCTCCTACTATGACTAATAACCCCAACCCTGGCCTAAAAATCACCACATTTTTATTCGATGGTTAGAATTATCTAGCCTGATCGCAGAGTTTGACTATTTTTTTGAAGAGCAAAGGGAAGACGGGCTATGTTGATGGAAGGATACAGGCACCCAGTACCACGGATCCTAGTTATGATCAGTGAGAGATCACCAACTCTCTGATCATGGGATGGTTGATACATTCTATGGTACCAGAGACTAAAGAGGGCTATTTGTCTATGGACACTGCTCAGGATATTTGGGAGGCTGTAGCTACTACTTACTCCAAGAAAGGAAACTTCTCACAGGTTTTCGAGTTACGTTGCTACATTAAAAAGTCGATACAAGGTGAGATGACTATCCTCCAATATTTTACCTTCTTTAGCAATAAGTGAAAGCGACTTGATCACCTTCAGGATTACAAGCCTATCTGTCCCACTGATTCTGCCGGTTACCCAAAATTTGTGGCACAAGAGCGGATCTTCAAGTTCTTAGAAGGCTTCAATGTGGAGTATGATTCAGTTCGAAGCAGAGTACTTGACATGGACGTGCTTCTTTCTCTCCAGGAAGCCTATGTTTTTGTGCAGAATGAGGAGAGTCACTGCTATGCGATGCTTCCTTCTGCCACTACTGATCGCTCGGCCTTGGTTTCTGCACCCCCTCATGATGGAGAGCGTGTGACTCGTGGTTCTCGACCTTTCTCTGAGACAGATAATCTTTTCTGTGACTACTACCGTAGACCTCGACACACATGAGAGACTTGTTAGAAGCTCCGTGGGACTCCTTTTGGTGGCTAAGGAGACCATCCTGGTACTCGAGGGGGTAGGTATGGTCAGTCAAGAGGCCGTGGGGCCAATGCTCGGGCACATCTTTCAAACATGGTTGAGCCACCATCTTCATCTCTAGTTGTCTCACCTACTGCTAATGTTTCGAGGTTATCTGCCTCAGATTTTGAGATAGCTTGCTAGGCCGTCAAGCCTCCACTTCCACCACAGTTGTATCCTCTTCTTCCTTTACCAATTCAGGTAAGTTGGCTTCCTCATGTGCATTGCTATCTCATACGACTATGCCATGGATTATTAATTTTGGTGCTTCCGACTATATGTCTAGTTCATCTCATTTGTTCTCAGAGTATAACCCCTCCTCAGGTTAGAAAAAAATGCATATTGGTGATGGTACCATTTCGTCTGTGTCAAGAAAAGGTTTAATTCATGCCACCTCATCCCTTCCTTTATTCTCTGTCTTCCATGTTCCCAATTTTAGTGTTAATCTTTTATCTTTGAGTCGTATTACTCGTGATCCGAATTGTAGTGTAACGTTTTTTTCCTGATAATTGTCCTTTTTAGGACCTTATCACGAGGAAGAAGATTTGCAGTGGCAGAGCGGAACATGGTTTCTACATTCTGGATCAGACAAATAAGTTGGCTCATTCATCTATTCAGTTACCATCCACCAAGGAAGACCTTTAGCTGTGGCACCGTCGTTTAGGACATCCTTCCTTTTTACTACTTAAGCATTTATTTTCTTTTGTTTTTGAGAAAAATAATTTGCCTGATTTTTAGTGCGAGTCTTGTCAATTTGGAAAACAACACAAAGCTTCTTTTGCTCTTTCTATTAATAAAAGTTCAATTCCATTTGCTTTGATTCATTCTAATGTATGGGGTCCTTTACGTTTTGTGTCTTTAAAAGGTTAAAAATGGCTTGCTACTTTCATAGATGATTGTTCTAGAGCCACTTGGGTAAATCTAATGAAAGATAAAAGTGAGATGTTTTCTACATTTCAAAACTTTCATAAAATGGTGTGCACTCAGTTTGGAGCGGTTGTCAAAATTTTGCATTCTGATAATGGGGGAAAATATATTGACTTTGGTCTTGCCAGTTATTTCACCACTCATGGTATTATTCATCAAACTTCATGCACTAATACCCCTCAATAAAATGGTGTTGCCGAACGAAAAAATCACCATCTTCTTGATGTGGCCCGTTATCTATCTTTTGAAATGCGTGTTCCTCGATCTTATTGGGGGGAAGCGGTCTCACTACAGCTTATTTGATTAATCATCTTCCTATCCAAGTCCTTCAAATACAAACCCCTCTTCAAGTTTTGTTCTGGTCCACCTCTTCTGGGTTCTCCATTCCACCTAAGACCTTTGGTTGTGTTTGTTTTGTCCATAATCATTCACCCCACCGTGGTAAATTGGATCCTTAGTCTCTTAAGTGTGTTTTTCTGGATTATTCTGCCACTCAAAAGAGTTACAAGTGTTATTATCCTCCTACTCGCAAATGGTTCGTCTCCGTAGATGTCACCTTCTTTGAGTCTCAGTCTTACTTTCTAACCTCCCTAGTGTCACAATCATCCCTTTAAGGGGAGCTTTGGTGTGAAGAGATTCCTGTTTCACTACCGCCAGTGGTTGAATAGATAGAGGATGATGAGCCTGCAGTTGTTGTGGAAAAGGAAGCAAACTAAGTTTATGTCAAGGGCAAGAATAGAAAGAAAGTCACCTAAATGCAAGAGACTACTTCCTCACCCTTCTCTCCTGAGAGTCTAGGTAATTCTAATGCTTCTATTCCTGAGTTTTTAGATCTTGATATTCTCATTGCTAATAGGACGGGGGTTAGGTCATGTACTCAGCATCCTATTACTAATCTTGTCTCGTATTCTAATCTGTCTCCCTCATTTAAAGCCTTTCTATCAAAGATTTCTTCTGTGAGTCTGCCTAATAACTTTCAGAATGCCCTTTCTATTCCTAAATGGAAACATGCTATGATGGAGGAGATGAGAGCTCTCAGTAAGAATGGCACTTGGAAGTTAGTGAAGTTACTTAAAGGAAAAAATCCAGTTGGGTGTAAGTAGGTGCACATTGTAAAACACTAAGCAGACGGTTTCATAGAACGGTACAAAGCAAAACTGATTGCTAAGAGCTTCACTCAGACTTATGAGGTAGATTACCAAGAGACATTTGCACCGGTTGCTAAGATAAACTCTATGAGAATGCTACTCTCTCTTACAGCAAATTTGGATTGACCACTTCATCAGTTTGATGTGAAAAATGCCTTCCTTCATAGAGACTTGGAAGAAGAGATATATATGGATATTCCTCCTGGTTTTGAGGATGCTAAGTCCAAAGGTAAAGTGTGCAAGCTCCGAAAGTCACTTTATGGGCTAAAGCAATCTCTTAGGGCTTGGTTTTAAAGGTTTGCTCAAGCTATGCAGAGATATGGGTTCAAGCAAAGTCAAGCTGATCATATCTTATTTGTGAAACACTCCCCTTGTGGTAAGACCACAACTCTTATTGTTTATGTTGATAATATTGTTCTGACATGGGATGATGTTGAAGAGATCCCTCAGTTGAAGGAATACTTAGCCAAGGAGTTTGAAATCAAAGATTTGGGTAATTTGAAGTAGTTCTTGG